TTTTTTTCCATTTTCCCACCAAATTTCAGGTAGACCCCCGCCTTAACTCAGGTACAGCGAAAGATATTCTTCAGTGGGGCCAAAGTTAAGGACATTTTCTTAGCTATTCCCTTGGCACCTCACTATTTCAGCAGTGGTAGATTCTTATTGCAATATAAGAGTGTTAAAATGGTTCTAATTTTACCATACTCTCAAGATTTTACAGATACACCAACGGGAAAATAATACAAATTCTTACGTATCTCAACAAGTGTCTTAACATGAGTTCCCTCCATAATAGTCCTGCTGTTAAGAGCCAGAAATAACCAGAATTGTTCATTTTGTGATAAAAGCATGAAACTTCCCAGAATTACTAACCTCTATAAGGTAAACATTTTCTGATATGGAGCCATCCCAAATTTACACCCACAAACATGCTACCGGCATGTCAATAAATGACATCTTAGGCCTTTACATGGGAACGAGGCTGAGTTAAAATGCTTATTTCTAAGCCTTCTCCGGAGTTTTTGTCTAGATTTCTTGCTTTTTAATATAAAAGCAACTTATGAAGTATCTGAAAGTCTCAAAATTTGTCGCGTGATTAGTCACGTGACCATCATTTCAATAAACAATAAAATAATACCGAATATTGCATTAATACGATTAATAATTTTTATTTCTCTTCTTCTCTCTCGTTTTTCCTCGCAAATAAAATGAAGTAATCATTTTGAATATTAAATATAAAGTCATCATAGATTCAAACTCTGAAACTTGTGTTTCGGCATGCACCGTGTCATATTGGGCTCTGCATCAAATCGAGGCTTGGACAAAGCATGGATCTATGTAATTGTTGGCTATTGAGGTGATTTGCTTATGGTGGCTCCCTATAGTTTTACGATTGCACCCGTGCATAGGACGAAAGCTCAAGTAATCTGCGCGCACTCAAGGGAAAACATCAGTGTTTTTCGATTTTTATGACGTCAACATGAGCGCAAAAACCAAAACTGACAGTGAATTTTCTCGCGTTTCCTTCGGTGAGTTTTTTTTAAAAATTTGGCTCAGTTGTGACCACATACAATTCCTATAAAACACCCTATTTCTGTTAAAATCTGTCAGAGCTAACTTGATATATTTAGAAGAATGAAAAAATACAGAATATT